TGATCTGTACGCATGTGGCGCGGATATTATGTCGGGAGAGGTGCCCTCGGCTGCAGAGGACTAGCCGAGGGCTCTGAGTGTCGGGGACCCCCTGGGTGCCGAGGGCTCCAGGTTGCCGAGGGCTACTGTTTTCTGCCGTTTTTCTCCCAGTTTCTTAGTTTGCTTGAAAAACCTGTTATGTGAGAGTTTTGAGCCTTCGTCCAGGGGGCCGAAGGCTCCCCAGTGTGCGATGTGGGCTGCTAAGTGCTTGGGGCGCCGTAATTTGGGGCCTGCTGTGCTTTCTGGGCCGGTTGGGCCTTTATTGGTGTAGTAGGAGTCTGTGGGCCGGGGGTTCTCGGGCCATATACTCCATCAAGGGTATTTCTCCATATCAAAAACTTTTTCACCGTGTTCCTGACTACTCATTTATGCGTGTTTTTGGTTGCGCATGTTATCCGAATTTTTCAGCCACTTCGTCTAACAAACTATCCCCTAGGTCTGTCCAATGTGTTTTTCTTGGCTATGCATCTGGCTATAAGGACTATCGTTGTTTTGATCCTACTACCGGTCGTGTCTATGTCAGTCGTCATGTTAGGTTCCACGAGGATACTTATCCCTTTAAAACCATTCCACCATCTAGACCATCCCTTCCACCAACCCAACCACCGTTTACCGTGCCCCTCACCAGTTACACGGCTGACCCCACGCCTCCATCTCCAACCACACATCTGCTCCCTGTTGCAGTCACGCCCCACGCTAACCATCTTCCATCATCTTTAGATCAGGTACCTTCAGTAGCTTCCCGGAAACTAGAAAAGTGGGGCATACCCGACCAGGTATGTTGGTTACCCAATTGGGTATGACACTCGAACATGATCAAAAATCGCCATGCATGTTGTCTTGTCCCGGATTTGATCCGATTTGATTTTCCAACAAGGTACCTGATCGGGTATAGTTCATAGCCGACCGGGTACAACCCAAAATCGCAATATTCTCTTTTTGTCTTGCTTTTTTGCAACTTCCTTCCACTTTTGGGCACACCATTGGTCCCTTGAGTGATCATGAACCTTTTTGAGCTCAGAATAAACCTAATCTAAACAAATTATAATTATTTTACAAACAAAAGTATTACACCAAAAGTGTGTAATTTCCAAGGAAATAATCAATCACAACTAATTAAAAACACAAACATGAACATAGAAATTATAGGAACGTCAAATAACATTAAGAAGAAGAAGCTGAGATGCATTGGCTAAAGTTCTCGTCCATCACCTCCACGGCAAAAGATGCATTGGCTAAAGTTCTATTCGACAACAGCAAATATGCCTTTCATAGAAAAAATAATAATTTCTAATACGGAGTATAATATATTAATATATAAGATTACGAATTTGAATGGAAAGCCTTAACTCGAAGAAGCAGAGGCCGGCAGTTAACCCAACGCAAAAGTGTTCTTCAATTGCTCCAAGAAGAAGCGTTAAATCGAACATCTATATAGCTTTCATAGCAAAATTGCTCTTCGTGTACTGCGATGGAAGAGTAAGTTTATACACCTCTGCTTGCGGTTAGGAGGCTGTCTGGTGTGGGTGATTCGGTGCAGGCGGGCTGGCGGCTGAAGAAGATGAAGGGCATCTTTCAGCAGATTGGAAGAAGGGAGTGTGTTTTCAGGGTGGGAGTGAAATTACATTTTAGCCCTAAGCTAAGATAAAGATGTAGTGCTTTTAAATATGTAAAGTTAGATAAAGATAAAGATTTTTTAGTACAGGGGTATAAGAGTTGGATTAAACATAGTAGAAGGACTTATTTAATTTTTTCATAATTAAAAAGTTAGATACTGAAAATTTAAAATGAGAAGAGTCTAATTATTGGAAAATAAAATGTTTCAAAATTGAAAATGAGAAAATTTGAATATGTTTGATAAAAGATGATTAAAGCTTTACATAAAAAGAATTTATAATGAAAAGACAAATGTAACTGAATTCTTCATGCTAGCAGTTAAACCAATAGTAGAAATATATCACTAAAATGTTAAAATAACATCTAAGTGGTGCTTTATATTCAAGCCTCCATCTACCATTTCCTTTCTAGAGCTCTGAGGTGAAATGTTAAGTGCTATTGTTTTCAATTAGAAGAAGCTTCACTTGATAGGGAAAATACATAATCTATAAAAAGAGCAACCTGAATGGTAAATATGTCATTTATCTGGCCGCATTTCAAAAAGATAGAACATATCATTTAAACATAAAGTTGATGAGAATACATCACCTTATTTCATATGGAAAAGCAATGTCAGTACTATCACCTATCACTTTCTCTTGCGGCAAAAAGTTTTGATCATGTTCAAAAAGATAGAACATATCATTTAAACATAAAGTTGATGAGAATACATCACCTTATTTCATATGGAAAAGTAATGTCAACACTATCACACATCACTTTCTCTTGCGGCAAAAAATTCTGATCATGTTCTTAAAGAAGAATCTGAATGAATGCCCAAAACCGTTTAAGAGTTGACCAAATCCTACTAAGAGAATGTTTGATGCTATAGTTCGGCATGTACAGGCATTTTTCAAAAAATGTTTGAAGTTATTAGTTACTCCCTCTGTCCCTGTTTTTTCTCCCATTTCGGCTGGGCACACTAATTAAGATAGTGGGTTTTGTGTGGTGGAGAGTCGTGCAGAGGAGAGAGAAATGTGTAAGAATGTGTAAGAATGATTGTGAACCACAAATTCTTTACCAAAAAGGGAAGGAAGAGTTAATTTTGGGACGGACGAAAAAGGAAAGTTTGAAGATAATTCAGGGACGGAGGGAGTAGATTGTTTTAACTTCATTCTTCAAAAAAGGGTGGGCTTGCTATTCGTATACCCAAGACTTGTTTCACGCACTGAGAGATGCGCTAAACTGCAACTTCGCGCTTCTCCATTATAACATGTACGCTACCTAAATCTCTACGAACGATGCAGAAAATGACATTCAGCTATTGGCAAAAAATCTTCCAGCACTCATTGTACCTTTTTAACCTGCAAAAATAACAAACAGAACAACAAAAAGTTTCGCGCACGAAGCAGGGGAAGTTCGCGCATGAGATAAATTTCAGTGTTAATCCGTCAATCAGCTTCGGCTCTGATACCGGATGTTGGGTCCCTGTTTTCTACTAAGAAATATATGAAATGGAAGCTCTAAAAGGTGTAGAAGATTGCTTTCATTGAAGAAGAAAGTTTTACAAGGATGAAGAAATGTTGCTTAGAAGTTTTCTCTTCTCACACTCTCACAATGATAAGGCGCAGGTGAATATTTCAGGTGTGTGGGAAAGCTGTCCAATCCATTCCCTTAAAGGCATATTTATAGCCTAGGGAATGAATAGGTTTACAATGATTGAGCCCTTAAATCAAGGAGGCTCATTTATTCCCTTTGCACCTTTTTAGCTATTCTAGCCTATTTAATACTAGATAAAATACATCAAGAGGCTAATAATAATAAACATTGATCACAACATAAAATATCTCAAACAGCTGCGGACTAGGGAACTTCTCATCCGGCCAACTTTCGGATTTTACCGACAGTGACACCAATATGCTTTGGGAATCAGCCTCGGAAGAAATCTCCAACAACCTTCGGTAGGTACAACAAGAAAAGCCTGTGGCTACAGGAAACCCTATGGCTAAAGGACACTAACACTAGATTAAACCTCTTAAAAGCTAAGCACACAAGCAAATCGAAGAACATGATGAAGAACTCACCTTAAAAGTTAGGGTTTGATCGCTAAGGGGTTTTGTTTCCCAAAAATTGGACAGAGCTCCGCTTTAAAATCTCAAAAATGCACATGCCAAATGACTCCGGATCAAGGGTTCTTATAGGCAACCCAACCAGGGTTACCTCAAAACTACACCCTCCAGTGAGAAAGCCATCATCACCTGTTAGCTCCCGACATGTGGCGCCACGTCACTCCCAATGGTCACTTCGCCAACTAGACACGGTGCTATGAAGGATTTTTTCCTTTGCTCTTGGCCAGCTCACCTTAGGCAAAAATGCAAGGCCCAAAGCCCAGGATACCTTCAGAGTAATTGATCCAGACAGCCCCCATAATCTCCACCATCAGGGTCAAACATTTCCGCCGTGCAACGCCTTCAGCCCCTGCACCAGTCAATAAAGGAACGTGGAACTCCCAAGGAAAGAACCTCTTGCTCACAAGTCCTCAGGATACCACAATTCATCAAACCCTCTTTCCCGAACAACCTTCGATCAACAATAGTGGGGGACTAACCCTCAGTCTTTTTCAAAGAAAAATTCCAAAACACAAGCTGCAACATACTTGCCTTCGGGAACTCAGAAAAGTTTGACAAACTACTTCCCTTCGCCTCGAATAGCTCTTGCAAAGGGAGTGAGGGACTCCTGATGGAGTATATTGCCGAGGACCCCCCCCCCCCCCCCCCCCCCGATCCACACACTTCTTCCACCACAAAATGCCCAAATATCTCAATAGGTCTAGACAAGCAATTAGGTAACCCTTGAATACAAGCCCGAGGGTTGTAGATCACGACATCTCACAGTTTCACCATCCTACACACTCGATCCAGAATATTCCCGTCACCCCGCGAGCCCTCGGGAAAGAGCCTTCGGGTCTCGAGGGCAGAGCCCTCGCCTTCGACCTAGAGGACTTTCGGGCCAACAGCTTGCAGCACACAACTACCGTATTTAATGCTCCGCCATGTGCCCACATCTTCCTCACATCGGTGCTCTCTATCATACACCAACTTACAAGTGTATGTGCATTTAATACACTTAGAAGTTAAGACTAGTATAATTAGCCGCCATTGGGCAGATGTAACTATTCGAAATCATTAATACAATTTCTCTCTCTAACTTAATTAATAGCTCTTCCTTCTCTCTTCATATATATATCGCTAGTGGTATCACGATTTGGTTATCTATCACTGATAAAGTAAGACGCACAAGGATACTCTTTTTATTTTTTTGCAATTTTTTTTTTAATTTATTCATCACATTCATTAATAATATGGGTAAAAACTAAAATACGTAACTACACTAGTTTGAGAAGAGACCGTGTATATACAAAAAGAATTTTCTAAAAGAAAAGAATAAAGGATGTAACATAAAAATGTATGCACAATGTATGTACACAAGCCATACATACATACATACATACATGCATGCATGCATGCATGCATACATGCATACATACATGCATGCATACATACATACATATATACATACAATCTCTATTAACAAAAAAATGAATGAAGCTAGCTAGTCGAGGATTGGAGGAGGGAGTTTAATTAATGGATTAATTTGAATGAGATCTAGTTTATTAATGAATTGCATGTATTGAATTAATTTATTATTTCCATGGTCGAATGGAGAGAACAATGATAAGGATGATGATGAGGAGGAGTAGGAGGGCGTAGCAAGTCCACTTGCGGGTGCTCTTCTGTTTGGTGCGGGCCTCCTGGAGCTGGTGAGCCCCATGGCGCACCACACTATTAGCCCTCTGCACCTGGCTCTCGATGTCATCCAGCTGCTCCCCCTGCGTCTCTACCAGCACCGCCATGTCCATGAACACTTGGTGAAGCTCCTTCAAGTTCCTCTCCACCTCCTTCACTGCCTCGTGCCGCTCCTGCATATATATATATATATGCATGTCTTATATTTCATTTGTCGTTTTCTATGACCATTATAAATAATAAATTACACAAAATTCTACTACATTTCATTTTGTAGTGTGCATACAAGTGATCTGAAGTAGATCAATTTCGCACTACCAAAAAACTCGTTATAGGCATGGTTTGTTGGCAAGGAATCGTCCTGCTTCTAATTTGGCTCGGATGTTGGCTCGCAACAGCTAAATCTCAGGTTTTGACACGGAAAAGTTGACGTCAAATGAAGTTTCGGTGTTGGCACGGAAATTCCCTGCCAGACTGCCCTAAAGACGAGAAAACCAAAAAATTTTGGATAGGAAGCGGATCCGATCAAAAATCCGTGTCTAATTGCGTCGGTTACGGAACCGAGACAAGAATCTGAGACACAATCCGTTCCAAACCCGGGAAAAATCATAAATTCAAATGAAATATAGTATGGCAGGGAACACATCCGTGCCAATATCTTCCTTGCCAACATCCGTGCCAAAAATTATCCGTTGTTACTTTCGAAAATTCCGCTTGCAAATGTAGCCGTTGATTTCCGAGACATACTTCATCCCAAAAGTACCCGTTATCTACGGACATTTTGAAAATTCCGTGCCAAAAACCTTGCCAAATACCTTGCCAAAAAATTCTATATATAGAACACATCTTATTATGTATTCATTCATTACATTCTTATTCTTCCCGACACTTATTACAACATCAAAAAATGGGAAATTACCCAAAATAGGAGCAAATGATATTTGGAATTCCAAAAATAGGACTAGTATGTTTTTCTTTCTGAAATAGGAGTTATTACTGTCATGTATGAAAGATACTACCATGATTGAAAAATAATGTCATTAATTATAATAAATAATGTCATGTTAATGCACTGTACTGCAACTATTTGGCAGTCACGACTACAAGATGACAGTAAATATTGTCATGTTAGTCCCATTTCGGGAATAAATACAAAGTAGTCCTACTTTGGAATTTCAAACTTCATTTACTCCTATTTTGGGAAATCTCCCTGAAAAAATTCATCTCTGAATTGGGTCTCCCCATTTCAACATGTTGAAACATTGTTTTTAATTATGTTTATATTGCACAACTCGATTAGTTTTATTTTACATATATGGCATGTTTTATTTGTTCAGTTTGCAATGATACATATATTTGCTTTATTACTGTTTGAATCTGTATTGGTGTACAAAATTTACTGTTTGGTTGAAATCGAAAAAACGTATACCGTATATATGTACTTATACGTTTATACCGTACATATATACGGTATACGTTTTTTTGAATCTCATCACGTTTGGCTCGGAAATAGTCGTCGCAATACTTGACACAAGCGTGTCGTGTAAGACTGTGTCAAGGAATTTGTACCAAAAACCGTGCCTAAATGAAATCCGAGCCAAATTTTTTGTGAATACGTTGTACGCTACAGGCACGCAATGGTCCCAACCAAAATCCCAGTCAAGCTATGCGACGGATCCTTAAAACCGAGCCAACACGTTTGGCTCGAGCTAGATGGCACGGAATTGAAAAACGTGCCAAATCCGAGCCAAAACCGTTCGTCTGGGAAATTTGTGAAGGGATTCCTGCCTATATCCGTGCCTATAACGAGTTTTTTTGGTAGTGTCGATTTACTTGTTCAATACTTCAGTCATTATCATTCAAATGAAATAAAATTAAATAAGATCCATGAATTTGTAAATTCAGTCTCTTAAGCGCTCAATTTAAACCTTGTAATTTTACTCGTTCGTCGTCCCCTGGGTCGTGCACCATCACCTCAGGAAGCACAACGAGTAAATACAGAATCAATCAATACAACCACATAATCCAGAACTTCATACCAATAAATTTCAACAGAATCAACGAATACAACCGATTTGGCTATTACCAAATGGTCTCCTAGTCATAAATTTGACATTTTAAAAAATGGAACCAAAGCCTTATTAGTTACTACGTGTTCTTTATAAATTGGGATATTTCCCGAAATAGGAGTAAATGGACTTTGGAATTCCAAAATAGGATTACTATATTTTTATTCCCGAAATAGGACTAACGTGACAGTATTTACTGTCATCTTGTAGGTGTGACTGTCAAATAGTTGCAGTACAGCGCATTTAACATGAGAGTATTAATTATAATTAATGACACTATTTTTCAATTATGACAGTATTTTTCATACATGGTAGTAATAACTCCTATTTCGGTAAGAAAAACATAATAGTCATATTTTGGAATTTCAAACCTCATTTACTCCTATTTTGGGTAATTTCCCTTATAAATTTGACTAGTACTGTAATAAACTTTAATACTCCAATAATTTTCACTATAAAAAATTAACACTTTCATTTGATGTTTGTACTATAAAAAAGTCGATATGAACAGATATATCATTGGTCAATTTTTAATTTGATTGACAAAAAAAAATTAAAAAATGACAAAGTAATGAAGGAATACCTACCTGGATCTCCATGACCGTGCTCATGACCTCCCCTCTCCCCTGTTCTTGTATAGCCTTCTGCATAAACGTCTCGCTCTGCCCCGTCGAGATTAACTTGTCAAGCACCTCCTCCTCCGGACTCTCTCCGGTCACGGTGTAGTACCTCCGTTGCACCGTATCTCGGTACTCTGCTTCGATCCTCTGGCGGAGATCGTTGAACTGGTTCATGTACTCCTTCAGCTTGCTCCTCAAGCCGTTCACGACGGAGGTTCTCGTCCGATCGGAAGAGCTGCCGGGGCCGAAGCCGTAGATATCGCGGTTGGCGGCGTTGGACTGGTCTAACTCCTGGAGGCGGTGTTGGACGAGTTTGGCTTGTTTGAGGGCAAGGGAGACGTCCCGGTCCATCTCCGACCGGAGGCCTTTGACTTGTTCGGCGTTGTGAAGGGTTTTGCTCCGTTCATGGGAGGCTCTGAGGTTGGCGTAGATGTCCCCGATGTGTTTGAGGTCTTCCTTGATGGCCTCCACGTCATCGAAGAACTTGGAGAGGCTTGCACCCCCTCCGGTCGCCATCTCGACGGTGTAGGAGTCCGGCGGCTGCGGAGATCCCCTGTTTTCGCGAGGGAGGGAGAAGGATGTTGACAGAAGGTCATTCATGACAGCAGCTAGAACATGCACTTCAGATCAGTTCGGGCGATCGAGAAATTAAAGCAATAGGAAGAAGTGATTGAGAATTGAGATGGAAAATTATACAGTATTGAAGATTGGAAATATTAGTAGGTTGAATTGAGAAGAAGGACGGAATTGAGGAAATGTAAAAAGGAAAACGCGGTTCCATGTTTGAATTATATTCATGCATGCGCGGCGGCGCAGAGATTTGTTAAATGCATTGACCGGAGAATATTCACGCTTTACTAGCTTGGTCTAGAAGGCATCATCATCATTATATCAAATTCTATTGGGAAAAGGAGCAAATAAAGCCACGTACTAACAAAAAAAGGTCAAATAAGGCCTTATTTATGAGGCTCTGTCCGGTCTTCGCCATTTGGGTTGGTTCTCGGTGGAATTTTTTGATGAAATTTTTTGAGCATCTTATTCAGTAAGTCTAGTTTACTCATACCAAATTTAAGCTAAAACTTCAATAGGGAAGCTATTCAAATGAATTCTTGAACATAATTGCGTAGTTAAAAGCGCAATTATCTTCAAGAATTCATTTGAATGCCTTCTCGATTAAATTTTTATCTGAAATTTGGTATGAGTAAACTAGACTTAATGAATAAGATGCTAAAAAAAAAGTTATCAAAAAATTCCACCGAGAACCACCCCAAATGGCGAAGGCCGGACAGAGCCTCATAAATAAGGTCTTATTTGACCTTTTTTGGTTAGTAGGTAGCCTTATTTGCTCCTTTTCCCAATTCTATTCCATCAAAATCCCTATGAAATGGTCAGATGTATTGGCTCACGACCTACAATAAGCCTTGGCCGGCCTCTCCTTCCTTAAGAGGAAACTGCACTTCCATCGTAATAACTGAGCTCGCTCGTAATTCCCCTATGTTTGCTTCAACTTTTATGCTAGTTGTGATAGAAATCAAAGGCATAATCCTTAAGTTAACCTCTCCACCTTCCATAGCAGCCTTGGCCCTGCTTTCTGGGAGGTGATTTTAACACCATCAAGGACATTAAGTAATCCAAAGGTAAAGCCATCCCTAATAAATACTTGATTTCAAAATTTTTATCAACTATAATGATCTTACTGATTGGAGGGAATTTTACCTGAATGGGGAGAAGAAAGGGAGGCACGGTTTTCAAAAACCATATGGTCCTCTGTGATCTCAGTTTTCAAATGAGCATCGTTATCCACGGTTGATACTTCATCCGTCCCAAATTGATTCGCAAAATTTCGTATTTTGGTTGTTCCAAAAATGATTTTCCACTTTCTATTTTATGTATGTAAATAAAAATAAAGGGACAAATTTATCCTTACTTTTACTTTTTCCCCTCTAACTTAAAGACATCTACTTTTAAAAAGATGGATCAAAGTGTAAAAAGTTTGTAATTCAATTCGGGACGAATGGAGTATTTTCTAATTCACTTTCTTTTTGTTATTCTCTCTTTTATAAAAACTTATCAAATTATATCTATAATCAACTCTTATGAATGTAAATATGCGAATATAATGTAATATGATACTTTTGAAATATGCATTGATATGACATTTTGAAAATGGACATAACATCAATACTAAATGAGCATCGTAACTTACAAAATGAGCATTACAATAATATCAAATGAGCATACATACTTACTGATGGAGTATATGGCCCAGGGACCCCCGGTCCACATACTTCCTCTACTACAATCAGGCCCAACAGGCCCAAACGGGTCAAGCCCAGAAAAATGGAGCTCTAAGCAGCCCACAATACGCAAAGGGGTGCCTTCGGCCCCATGGCCGAAGGCTACCAGTGACGGAATCGAGCTCATAAACATCACAGGAGAATAAGGCTTGAAAACCAAGCCTTCGGCAACTGCAACCCTCGGTAGGTAGGAGCACTCGGTTAGAAGAGGCATCACAGGAGAACAAGGCTTGAAAACCAAGCCTTCGGCAACTGCAACCCTCGGCAGGTAGGAGCCCTCGGTTAGAAGAGGCATCACAGGAGAACAAGGCCTGAAAACCAAGCCTTCGGCAACTGCAGCCCTCGGCAGGTAGGAGCCCTCGGTTAGAAGAGGCATCACAAGAGAACAAGGCTTGAAAACCAAGCCTTCGGCACCTGCAGCCCTCGGCAGGTAGGAGCCCTCAGTTAGAAGAGCCTTCGGCCCAACACCCTTCAGCCGAAGGCATCCATCTCGACAGAATATCCTTTTCACATGCGCCTGGATCACCGTACCAAGTACAAACTTCACATCCAACCACCGCATTTAATGCGGCCACATGCGAGTGCCATTGCCACCCCGATCGAGGTGACCCCTCGACCACCAGAAAACTGACACATGTCCTTATCTAGCATTTATTACTACTATAAATAACACCCCTTTCCCCCATTGTAAACCACGCTTAATACATATCGAATATACACTCTCTCTCTCTTACTTGTTTGCTCTGACTTCTCTCTAGTTATTCTCCGCAATAACCCCTCGGATAAGCTACCCCCCGGGTACACTATCCATCATTTGGTGCTCTCGTTGAGAGGTCGAACAATCAAGTAAGAAACCCTTCCCCTCGACCAAACACAAAACACCTAGCTAAAATGGTGAGAACAACTCGTGCCAACTCCAAGAATGTCGAGGACAGGAACCTGGCCCTCGGCGAGGTCGACGTCCCCGAAGCCTCTAACAGGGCTCCCGGGGGCGGCGTCATCGCCGGGTTGGACCAGACGGTTGTCGACCTACGCCATCAGATTCAACAGAATGCCCCCGATGCCCGCTTTGGCATCGAGGCTAAGAAGAAGGACCGGAGCGAGAATCAAATTAGCCCTCCGGTCATCACAATCGACGTACAATCGGCGCTCTCCGCCTTCATCCAGACGCTCACCCAAAACCCGGGTGCCTTCGGCACTTTGGTTCCCCTCCAACCTCAGGTCGGGGAGAATATTATGCCTTCCCCTCATCCACACCCCCTCGGGAACCCGGTCCTCCGGATTGGGAACTCCGAGGGGGTCGTGGCCCAGGATACGACCTCCCAGGAAGTCCAGTCCCGGGACCGCCACAACGTAAACAAAGAACAACTCCGGACCTCCACCCTCGAGAGACTCGGAGGGGCGCAAGACCGCCGAGGGGTCCAAGACCGCCTCGAGGGGAAGGTGTTCCTGAGGCCTCAGGAAAGTGGCGGATCCGTCTCCAGGGCCAATGAAAGGCGTCCCCCTCAGGACAAAGGCAAGGCACCTCTCTCTCCATGCCAATGACGCCCGCCACCAAATCAACCAGGCCCACTCGATCCGCGTCCATTCGCAGGGGGCGGAGGCCCTCCCGAAGGACCCCCGGGACGAAATCATCGCGGCCCTCCAGCGCCGGCTTGACGAGATGGAGGCCACCAAAGCACACGCCACCACTTCTGCCCCTCATACAGATCTCAAGTATGAGGCCATGCTGGCCAAAATGGAGGAGATGCAAAGGAAATTTGCCGAAGGCTCCGGGGAACCCGTCATCCAACTCCGAACTAGGACGCCATTTACCCCAAGGGTATTGGCGGCCCAAATCCCGGAAAAGTACCGAGGGCAACTCATCAAGCCCTATGAAGGAAAAACTGACCCCCAGGAGCACTACAACAGGTATCAAAACAGCATGATGATGATGGGGGCATCAGATGAATACTTATGTCGTTGGTTCCTTTCCACCTTGGAGGGACCAACATACGAATGGTTCAACCGATTTCCCGAGGGCAGCATTGACTCTTGGCAAGACCTTGCCCAACGCTTCCTCACCCATTTTGCCGGAAGGAAGCGCGCGAGAAAGCACTTCTCCCAGCTCCTCTCCGTCAAGCAACAGCCTGACGAAACACTTCGGTCCTTCATTGACCGGTGGATGAAGGAGACAGACGAGGTCGAGGGCGCCGACGAGCGTACCCTCCTCGTCCTCTTCCAGGGGTTCTCCGCAGCAGCCCCTACGCACGGAGCCTCATCACCGACCCCCCAAGATCATACCTCAGAGCACTCCAGCGGGGGAGCCTATACGCCGACGCCGACGACCTCCACTCCTTCAAGAAGAACGAGGGCCAGCCCTCGAAGAAGACAAACAACACACCATCCCCAAATGCTCCCTCGGCCGGAGGCCGAGACCATGGAGGCCACACCCAACAGGGCCGTAACGAATGCCAATGGCACCCTCGGCTGGACATGCCGATGACTCCCCTCACGCACCCGGTGAGCACTATCCTCAACTATGCGGAAGAGCAGGACCTTTTCCCCAAGGACCCTCGGTCGACGAGGGAGATCTACGCCATTCACCAAGGCGGCACTTATTGCCGTTACCACAAAAGCACCTCCCACAATACAGACGATTGTGTCTCGTTAAAGAATATATACTTCTCTCACCCTTCTATTAAAAGCACCTTTAATAAAAGCTTCCATTCGAATTAAAAGGTATACATCAAAAGAAAAAGGCAAAAAACGGAAGCAGAAAAAAGAAAAGTTAAAGTTGGAAAATTAAAGTTCAAAATCAAAAGAAAAGAAAAAGAAATATCAGAAGCAAAAAAAACGAGAATTGGAGGTTCCAAATGAATGATAATCGGAGGTTCCAAATAAAATTGCAAAACATTAATAAATGAAAACAGAAAAAACGGAAGAAAAAGGAATCAAACGCCATGCTCCATCATTGATGACCTCCGATTTGTAAATATTTACAAAAATACATGGCTATACCAAAAGACCCGATACAGCCGGGTGTACAAAAAAGGATGACACTCCATCCCCGAGGGTCCACCAATCCTGACCAGACGATACGTTGGAAGGTTGTAAATTGGACTATAATCCTAATCTGACAGATAGAGAGTAGGGCTCTGTCCTCGGTACTTGCATAAGCCCTATGCATTTTTAGCATAATAACCTCTTATTGCAGTTGCCGAGATTCGAACCCGGGATCTAATCCTTGTGGCACTCCCTTGCTACCAGTTGAGCTACGCCCACAGGTGGTACAACCAGGTGTATAGTATATTTTACCATGCTTGTTTTCATATTATTAAAATCGATCTCCTTAATGCATTTAAAGAATTTTTCTATGTTGTTCCCATAACTAAAAGTGTGGGCCATACTTTCATTACTTTTATTTTTAGGGAGTACCAACCTGCAACTTTATTAAAAAAATCAAACCTGGAGGAAATTACTTTTAGTATGTTGTCAGTTTTTAGTATGTTGTCAATTATAGATAGAATATGTATTACTCCCTCCGCCCCCTAACTTTATCCTAT